TATTGTTTCTTTTTCCTAGAAAGACCACACAGTGTATGCATAGATTTCTGTGAACAGGACTAAGATTATGGCAACATATCTGAGTGCCTATTTTCCACTTTCTGTATCTAATGCCACAAACTTGGCTTCCTTTGGCCAATTATGAATGTTCTTTCAGCCTGTTTTGATATCAGTCTATTGCCATGTTTTAATAATGAAGTTATAAATCAACCATCCCAAACTAGTTGGTCAAATGGAGGGCCTCCATTTTAAATGTAAAGATGATGAGAAATGATTTCATTAATATTAAAAATATGGCTAATTATTTTTTAAAGAGTTAAATAAGAAATGTGAATGTATTTCATTTGCTTAAGTGTTTTCTGCCTTTAGATTCTTGCTAAGGTTCCACAGGCCAAAGCCTCAACATTAGTTAAGTATGTGTCGGCACTTTCTCCTATTTAGTATTAAGGAATGGAATCTTAAGTATGAACGATGTCTTGTGTAGTATGTCATAATGTTGAGCAATATCATTTCAGTCTAAATACAGAGATGAAAGAAGAGCAGATGATTTTCCTTTTGCTGTAATTCACTTTGGGATGCATGTCATGAAGAGCACTATACAAAAGCAATTTTCATTGATTGACTGACTGGTTGAGGAAAAGGGTGAATGTTCTTTTAGCCTATGCTCCTACTGAAGTATGATTCTTATAGCTCCTGACAGCTCTTTACAATTTCTAGTTAAATGGCATGCTATCAAACAAACAAACAAATAAGTGAAATAAAAAAGAAGAGGGGAAGAGGAAGAAAGTCTTAATTAGAATTTCTCTGCATTTCTCTGACTTGAGCCAAATAGCCAACTAGACTAGGTCTGGTAAGAGTCACTGCAATTCTCCTATGCATTGTATTTGGACATGACTATAATTGCAATTATCTCATCAACATGCTAACTGCCCAACCCACTCAGTGACAGAGGCAGTCCACAGGTACTTCTCTTCTTCTGCACACGGTGTTCTTTCTAGAACATTCAAGGAGGTTCTGATGCACAGAAGATTCCACATCAGTGCCCTTATCATTACAAAAAGAATGTCATGTCTCTAAAACGGCCCCTCAGTTATGTAAACATTCACCTAATTTGGGCACAGCTTTTGTCTTTTTCATATATCTGAATGGACACTGATCTCCTGGTTATGAATGCAAATATTTAACATGTCCAGTAATGAAACAAAAAAAATTCATATACAAACATTATCTCCAAATTCCTCCAGCAGATCACTCTAACCCACCACTAATCAGTGGTGATTAGCAATCTGACCACTGCTACAGCTGATCATCTCCTTTTAAGTTTCTAGTTCATTCTCCTAGAGACATAAAAATACTTGGGGAAATCTTCTCCCCTAATTTATGCAAACTGGGTTTTTCTCAGATGTTAAGTTGAAGGAATACTAGTGAGCCAGCAATTCTTACCTCAAATAGACTTACTTAAATTCAATGGCTCTTCACAAGTAATAAATTTTAATCCTTACAAAGTTACATCTGTTCACAAACTGTGGAAGATCTACAGTCACATGGCAGGCCATAATACATGCACTTCCAGGTGAGAGGCACTTAAAATGTCTCTCTAGGGTTGTAGCACACAAATGGCAAGGCCTGTGAAGATTCGGAAAACCCTTCACCCAAGGTTAGCTTTTCTGTAGAAGCTTGAGATCACATTTGCAGTTGGAATTGACATTCTCCATGCAATTATGCTTCTAGCCAAATATGTCCAGGGTGGGAGGAAAACAGTTCAAACAAGTAAATAATTGCAGTATCATTGCATCAGTTTAGTTTAAAGAGCTGACAAGCCCTCTCTAAACTCCAGGCACAATTAGTCATTAGGGTCTAGTTTTTCAGCACTGTTAAGCAATTTGTAACCCATTCCTCTTAATAGGGTTAGGCATTACTTAACGACACAGATGCCTTGAAAACTGAAACCTCAAGTTATGAAGCAGCAACCTTGTTCATTACCTTCTGTGATAGGCAAATCATCTATAAAAACAGCATTTAATGGGTAACCAATGAATAATCAATGGCTCACTTTTCATCTGAGTGTGAAAATGAGAATAATCTAATACAAGTCCCTCTGGTAAGAGTCTGAATCTTCGTTCTGCCACTCTTCAGGGCTGATTTATAAGGTCTTGGAAAGCTGATGTAAACAGATGATCAATGGGCCCATCCCTGCTCATAATAACCCCCAACTGGCCCACTCCCTCTTTTCCAGGTCCATCCCTTCAGGCTATTAGCTCTGTCCAGCTAATTCTTCCCACTACTCCTGCCTGCTGCTTTTACTCTGGCCATCCGTTCAGTCCAGCAGACTCAGAAGTAATTTTATACGCAGCACTCAGTGCTCAGTTCCCATCTGAATAATTATCAATTTTACTGCCTCATAAAGGGAAGAGTCAAAATTTCAAATCAATTCAAAAGAGCTTTTGAGACGACAGAAACTGTGCATAAGAATAGAGGTCAAAGTTGTCAGTGACCTAAGGAGATGATGTCAGATATTACTATACCCAATAGTTGACATCAGAGGCACTCAAGATGATACAACCTAGTGCTAATGCAAATCATATTTATGCTGACTACCAGAGACCAGTCATTAATATTTAAAATGTTATCTGAAAGCTTACATCCCAAATAAATAGAATGTATTCCACTGCTTAATAAAGATATATCACTACTTAGTCAAATGCTATAAAGTGAAGGATTACCAAGTCTTATTAACACACAGAAATGATTTAAACCAACAAATGCATGGTGTTTCTGAGTAAAGACACACTGGCTGATCTCCTGCACTGTCTTATTACTAGCTTCTACACTATTGATTTTTACTAAAAATCTCAACCAACTTAGAAATGACTGCCCAAAGCTGATAGGACAAACTGTGATGATGACTGACTTCCAATAGGAATGACTTGGTGGTAGACTTGTCCTTTTCATGGTAGGCAGGGCCTGATTTCTAGTGTATCCATAGATATTTGTTATCTTAAATGATAACATGCTGTAAGTCATCGGTCCTCGGACTTCTCCATGCAAAACACACAGGGCTGCAAATGTACTCCCACCTGTACCAGCAGTGACTTGCAGGTGCAAGTGTTTGAGAGGAGTGCATCCTAACCATGACAGAATGTGTAGTTTGCACAGGCATTCATGTGACTCTGAGACACCTTGAGAAGCAATGGCATGAGTTTTAAGGATATGGAGCTTTGGAGCTAAACAGACCTTGGTTCAAATTCCAATTCTATTACTTTCTAGTCAATCTTGAGGCACCCAGAATATTGACCTGTAAAACTGGGGATGATAACAGCCACATTTCTAGGCTGTTGTGGAATCTCCTTCTGTGTCAGTCCCTATCACTACTATGTTAATAGAATTATCACATTTATTAATATCAATTAATTGTATTTTTATAAATTTTACTTGTTCTTGCACAATAAATGAAACAGACCATTCAGATGCTCAAAAGCTCTACATCTCTAGTACTGCTACTGGTATAGGTAGGAGTATGCTACAGCCCTCATATTCTCTGCATGGACAAGGCTGAGGCTCACTGGCTTAGAGCATGCCATCTTTGAAGATGGGGGAGCTAGAATCACACTGACCAGATCCTCAATGAATTCTCTTCATTCTTTTACATTATCAACTAGTTGAATAGTTTCAGGATCACATCAAATAGTTATAGGTAGGCCTGTAGTAATTAGCCCTTTGCTACTTAAAATATGAATGAATTACATTTAGGTCATCCATTCTTGGAATGCAACTAGTTAGCTGAAATGTCACCACAAATAAGAATTTCATAATTTTATTCTGATCCTAGTAAAACTATTACAGTCAGGAAGGAAACCTCTTCAATGGACTTCCCATTCTATTTTCATCATGTTCATGAGCAGTGATACAGCCTTCTGACTCAGATGACATTGGTCACTAATGTCAATACAGTCAGTAGAGGTATTTACTTTTGTAAATCAGACTACTAGACATACCCTGGGCAAAAGAAAACTGAAAACAGTATACATATATTTTCCAAATTTTGTGGAAGTAGAAACATCAATCATAGTGATGGTATATTTGTAAAATGGCTTTATTCTCTTTGGAATATTCCTGGCATGTATCTTCATTTCTTAGGTATGTTGTATCTCAGATTGTCAGAAATGAGTTATTTAAAACAATCATAAACTTGGACTTAGCCTATATTAGCCAGGTAGAAAACACAACTGGGGACTGGAGAGATGGCTCAGCTGTTATGAGCACTGGCCGTTCTTTCAGAGGTCCTGAGATGAATTCCCAGCAACCACATGGTAGCTCACAACCATCTATAATGGGATCCAATTTCCTCTTCTAGCGTGCAGGTGTACATGCAGACAGGGCACTCATATACATAAAATACAAGAGTAAATAAATCTTAAAAAAAAAACCCAACTGAAAACAAACTGCTGCCAGGTGGTGGTGGTGGTGGTGGTGCTGTGAGTTAAAGGCCAACCTGTCTACTACAGAGCAGGTTTCAGGATAAACTCCAAAGTTACAGAGAAACCATGACTTGGGAAAAAAAAAAAAACCCAAACAAAACTGAAAACAAATTGTTGAATTATCACATATTAATTGAATGTTAGGAACACTGCCTAATGTCTGAACTGTGTGACTCCTAATCTTACATTGGAACAACTGCTAATTACACTTTCAAGAATGAATAGCTCCTGGCAAGTTGTCTGCTAGGAGCAGGAGCTAGCACATGACTGCCCCAGCAGCCATGTCCTTATGCACACTTCAGCAGTTCTGCCCACGGGTCCACTCTTTTTAGGCCTCAGAATGATTCCTTCCGAATTACATAGTGAACTGAACAACACTGGGATTTTTATGGGTGGGTAACACTCAAGCTAGAGTACTCTCCATTGTCAGAGAAAAGTATCAAGGAGAATCATTGCTGAACATCTTAACAAATGTTTATGTAAGTTCAAGGGCCAGAATGGAAAAATTTTTAGTGATGTTACCTGCTGCAGCACATCTGGGTTTTGTTGCATAAAGTGTAACAGCCTCTGGCCAGCCTGCATAGACTCTCTGCATCGAAGCGGCTTCTTGCCCTCCTTTGCTATGTGCTTGAAGAGGTAGGTGACCATGTAGTCTAAACTCGTACAACAGCTGGAGGAGACGACTGTATCTGTACAAACAATAAGTAACAATTCATTCCCATCACTCAACTGTTGGTTCATTCGTTTATTGTCATCATTAAAAAGTTAGGACTTCAAGGTACTTCAGTGAAACTCTAAATCCTGGAGAGAAGGGGTTTGGCTTCTTTCTCTCTTTAAGCCCTGTATCTATTACAGGGCCTGGCATAGAGAAACACTAGCAAGGAAATGATTCCTGGTCTGAACTGGACAGAATTCCCCATTTGGGACTTGAATAACCTCTGTTCAATTTGACTGGTTATTAAGCATCTACTTAGTGAAAAGTACTTCAGGGGAAATGGCTCCAAAGGGGAAATAGGTGCAAACCCTGCCCTGTTGTCAAAGAGCTCATGTCTTTCCACAGAGGTCACTGCAGTATAAAAGAGTCACACAGTCACATACTGCTGCTGGGTAACTATATATATATATTGGTGTGTGTGTGTGTGTGTGTGTGTGTGTGTGTGTGTGTGTGTGTATACACAAGCACGGAGGCTAGACGTTGATGTTCAGTGTGTTACTCAATCACATGCATTTTTGGGACAAGAACTTCTCACTGAACCTGAAACTTACTGTTTTGGTTAGCAAATCCCAGGGATCTTCCATCTCCACCTTCCCAAAGCCAGGATTACAGAAATGTTTACAGGGGGCTGGGACCCACACTCAGCAAGTACTGAGCTATTCCTCCCAGTCCTAACTGCTGCATGGCTTGAGATAGCTTGGAAAGGCTGTTTCTCTGAGATGCAAGGAGGAAGTTTCTCGGTAGAAAACAGCAAAAGTTAAGAACATGGAGGAAGCCCTGGATTTTGGAGCTGGACGGCACTGGTTTCAAATCCCATCTTTTCCCATTGTACTGTTACCTTGGAAGCGCTAGTTTATTTCCCTCATCATTTGTAAAATACTCTGCAACGTAGAATGAGAAGGAGGACTTCACCAGTAAATAGCTGGCATGTATGGAGGGCTTACTACATGTTAGTGACAGTGTTAAATGTTTTATATCATTATTGTTTTTAATCTTTATCAGCCCTGTAATAATTACCCTCATTTTATAGGTGAGGCTTAGAGATTTAAGTGACTTGTCCAAGGGCTCTGTAAGATTGGGAGGAACAGTAAATAAGGAGTTGGACCATGGACGTGCACTGCCAATAACTATATTAAAAACAAGCATTAAATGTTTTTTTTTTTCTAAACAAAACAAAACAAAACAAAAAAAACGGGATGGCACTGGATTTGTGGTAGAGTACGAGTTTGATCCTTGGCATCCACAAAACAAAACAAAACCAACCAATAGCCCCACAACTGAAACTCAAACTGCAGTTACTACTCGGCTGTCACAGTAAATTGGAGGATGCATTTTGGAGGATAAGACTTTGGTTTGCATACAAAACTGTATGGGGTTAACAAAGTAGTTTGGGTTCCTACATGAGAGCATCCAAAAACAGGTGGAGATACATCTAATTTGAAAGTCAACAGAGATGTTATTGAAAATTTTCCAAGCGTGTTTTTTTTGTCCCCCCCACTCCGCCCCCAGGGTTTCTCTGGGTAGTTTTGAACCAGGCTGGCTTTGAACTCATAGAGATCCACCTGCCTCTGCCTCTTGAGTGCTGGGATTAAAGGTGCCACCACGGTCTGCCTGCAAGTAATTGTTATGCAACTATTTATGCAACTGTTTATAATTTTCTTTGTACATTAAAATTATCAACTTTGTAGGTTCTTTTTTTTTTTTTTTCTTTTGAGACAGGGTTTTGCATATCCTAGGCTATCTTCTGACTTGCTATGTAGCCAAGAACGACCTTGCACTTCTGTTGCTACTGTATCTACCTTCTTAGGGCTGGTGCTGAGATTGATAGGCCCAAGCTACCACGCATCCCAGGTAAGAACTCTACAGAGTCCTCAACTAACTTCTAACAACTACTGAGTATATCAGGTATCGTTTGCATTTTTAAAATGAGAAAAGGCTGTGGATGCAGCTCTGTGGAACTATATGTGTCTAGTATGCTTAAGGCCCTGGAGTGAGGGGGACGGAGGGGAAGCAGAAAAGGAGGGGAGAAGGGGCTAAAATCCAGAAATTCCCTAGTTTATCCCATTTCAGTGATTTAGAATCATAGTAAGGTTGGTATGATACTACCCATATTTTTTGGTTAATGATGACAATGAATAAATGTTATTTCCTGGCAATTTTTGACTACTAGGAGAAACAAAAATGGCAAATAGAGTAGCCTCAGAAAAGAAACAGATGGCGAGGCCAAGCATGGTAGCACATGCCTATAATTTCTGTTCTTGGGAGGTGGTGGCAAGAGGATCAGCAGTTTGACTGACCTAGGCTATATGAGATCTTGTCTCAAAAAAAAAAAAAAAAAAAAAAAGCAGCGGGGATGGGATGGAAAAGCTGAGAAATAGCTTTTTTTATTCATCTCATGCTTGGGACATGGTAGATAGATCAGAGATGAAATAATGACTTCAAGAAAGGCTCAGAGGTTAAGAGTACTGACTACTCTTCCAGAGGTCCTGAGTTCGGTTCCCAGCAACCACATGGTGGCTCACAACCATCCGTTATGAGATCTGGTGCCCTCTTCTGGTGTGCAGATATACATAGAAGCAGAATGTTGTATACATAATAAATAAATAAAATCTTAAAAAAAAGAATGGGGAGCTAAACTAACCTTAGAGGTTATTCAAGAGAAGGTATGACCCATGCTTAGTAATACTTAGCAATAAAATAACACCCCAGCTTGAAAACATCCTGGAAATAGAAAGGAGGAAGTCTGTGGGCTTCTGAGACACAGACAGGATGATGAAGCCCATATAGGATCCAGAGGAATGAGAGGTTAAAAGAAAGTCTAAAAACAGGTATGGACAGTTGTAAAACACTGGGGTAAGATATCTTTGTTTGTTTGTTTTTGTTTTTTTTTTTGAGACAGGTTTTCTCTGTGTAGACCCAGCTGTCCTGGAACTCACTCTGTAGATCAGGCTGTCCTGGAACTCTCACAGAAATCTACCTGCCTCTGTCTCCTGAGTCTGGGATTAAAAAAAGGTGTGCGCTACCAACACTAGCAAGAAATAGTTCCTCTTTTTTTTTTTTTTTTTTTTTTTTTTTTTTTTTTTGTTTTTTTCGAGACAGGGTTTCTCTGTGTAGCTTTGGAGCCTATCCTGGCACTCGCTCTGGAGAGCAGGCTGGCCTCGGACTCACAGAGAACAGCCTGCCTCTGCCTCCCAAGTGCTGGGATTAAAGGTGTGCGCCACCAACTCCCGGCTAAGAAATATTTTAAGAAAAGAGCATTCCCTGGCTTCTCAAAACTATGGGATTTATGTACTGGCTAACTCACTCTTCATCATGCCCCATACCCAAGGCTGTTCTGTAGGATGAAATCCTGTGCTCTGCTAACTTTGGGAGGCAGCCCAGGAACACTTATTTCTTGAGTTGTTTTTCTTGCCTTCATTTTTCTAAATTTGAAGCCTTGATCACAAAAGTAAACAGATTTAAGTAGAGAGCAATATGCTATCAATCATGCACAAAATTTAAAGTCGTCACATAATTTGGTGACCACACTGCCATGCAAGTTGCATTAAAAGGATCTAATCCACTGAGTCAGCTGTAGAAAAGCCAGGTAAACACTTTAGACTCAAAGGTTGGAGCACACAGCTTTGCAATAAAAGCGAGGGTTTCCATTATGGTTGATTTATGGTTGGGGCTTTGAAAAGGATAAATGTTATTTCCAGGTAGTTTTAAATGTGTGGAATCACAAGGATCATGGGCATTTGGTCAAAACAGTATGAACAGTGCTGAAGACAAGGCATTAGTATTACCTTTTCTTTATCTGCAGAGGAAGCTATCATGTGAGACTCAAGGAATGACTTTTCAAAGAATGGGCAGATATCATTAATTTTTAAATTTCATGCTATTTTTTGTTTTTTTGAATACTTTGAAAAGGATTACATCTGTAAGTTAGTCAAGTCTGGAAATGTTTTGACACCCATTTAGTACTTTGTCCTCTCTAGCAACTCACTGTTTGGCACCAAGGGCTCTGGCTCTCCTGCAAGCGGTCTCCACAGGAAGCGCATGCATCGTTAATAGCTCTTCTGCTTACTAAGACTCACCATGGAAAGCTGCTCTGCAAAGTTAACTGTGTACAAGAGCTGCACAATAGAGTCAGGAAGAAGATAATGGGGCCGAGTTGAAATCTGGCTTCAGCTCAAAACTTATCATAGCACAAGGGAAGACGAAGGTCTTGGGAAGACACAGTCTGAAAGGCAATTTCCAAGACAAAAGGACCACTGGGGAGGACTAGCTCTGGACACAGGCAAGCAGACTGATTTCACTTCCATGGTGTGTAGTGCGTACTTGCACTGTGTGACGCTTCATGAGGATACACAGCATGTACAGACTGTGGCAGTGCTCCCCCATATGGCATTTCCCCCTTTTCATTTCCTAAGCATTCCCAAGCTTTCAATCCCTTAAACACAAAGCCTAGCTACTAAACTAATCCACAGTTGTCTTCTCTTTTAGCACTATTTGTGGTGGGAAAGACTAATGCACAATCTCTCTTCAATGTTTCACTAATAATAGCATATCAGTACTGAACATTCCTTTCATGAGTGTTACAAGTGGCCACATACATACCTTGGCATTTACATACATTTTATTGATAATAAACAGGTCTGGTTGTGTGTAGTTGACTGAATTTGTTGCTTGCCCTCACTTTTCCTAGGCAAGTAATTATGCTACTCAGCCACCCTCGGCCAGTCAGCCCAGTTGTTCCTCGTTTAGCACTTTGTGCTATCTATCCTTTACTCCTGCTTGGACTGTATTCCCACCAAACAGCTGTTTCTCTCATCACTGCTTCAGAAATTATTACCTCATTTTAATTATTTATTTAGCACTCATGACTTGATATTTTCTTGTATGAGTGTTGTTTTACTTATTGTTTATCACTCACCATTAAAATACTCTCCCCTCAGTACTGTCAAGGTCTAGAATACTTCTTGGTACATAATA